GGGGGGGGGTGTTCTCAGAACATTGATGACGTGGGTGGTGGGTGTCCAATACTGCGGGACCTGGCTTCCTACCTGAAGAAGACTCCCTGGACTTCATTACTGTCTATGATATATCTCAAAATGACCCAAGCTGACACCTGGCAGAGTAGTAAGGTATTCAGAGAACCTACTCTGAGTAGACACATCTGGAGTTAGACATTATCTTATTAAACCTTTGTTGTGGGGTCAGAATCAAATAACCGTTTCATGAAAATTCATTTCTTTTGCTCCCCATAGAGGCAAGGTTTAGAATTTTCATCCAATTTTTAATCTGGCCTGAAAAATATACTTCAGTGTTCAATGATTTAACCTCCTCTGAGATATGGGTATTAAATGGATTAAATGCTTTAAGGAATATGCATCTAACTGTGTATTTACCCACATGTTATATGCTTGGTTCTTTATTTTCACCTGCCCAGGGAGGACATCCATCGGTGCTTATAAACCCTATTCCCCCTGGTGATCATTTAGTACCAAGTTAACCTAATGATTGGCAAAAAAGAGTGTGCAGAATTCAATACAATCCAACACACAACCACAGAAAAGGTCTCAGCACTTACTCTGGAGTGACAGTGTCCTTGCTGGCTTCTTACATGGCACAGAGCTTCCCCAGTCCCCATCTCTGCCTCTCCGCCCAGTGGAAGCCTGCTCAAGGAATTCTCTCTATGCTCATCAGTGGGTGCACGAGGGCTCTAGACAAGTCAGTGTGAGAGCATGGAAAGGAAGTCCTCCAGAGTCTCCAAAGATGTAAAAACACAGAACAAAGCTAAAATGCCACAAAAAAACCTTGGGTCCACTACCCCGGAGTGAAAGCAGTGTTTAGTGAAGGATGCTTCATCAGGAGGCCTGCATGTCAGTCAAGGTGAGTGGAGCCATCCTCGCCATGCAGGGGAAATCCTGCATCTGTTTCTGCACAAGTGGGACCAGCACAGTCAGCAGGACTCAAGTGAGCCTCTCAAAATGGGAAGATACGACACAGTCCACCCTCTGCAGCGGCTCAGAGACCCCCCCCGCCCCAGAAAGAGTTCTTGACGCAGTGAGCAGAGGCGGTCTCACCATCTTTGCTTTCTTCTCTCTGGGAAGATGAAGAAACTCTGCAGCCCAGCAGGCTGGTCTCTAGCTGGCATCCAGGGAGCCTCCTTTTCCTGTGGTCACCTTTAGCCGCCTTTCCTTTCTGAGAAAACCAGCAAGGCCTCTCCAAGTCCACCGAGCAGGAGGCTGCAAAAACGGCAAGATGTCAGTTTTGCATTCCCACAAGCCAGGAGGCTGCCTGGTGCTCACATACAACAGAGAGATGCCCTCTCATTCTGCTGCTGGGACTCTCATCCCACTTCCATGTCTGGCCCAGGAGCCATCCAATCTTCCATCCAGAGTAAACCTTAGCTATGCAGTGGGAGGGGAGTGGGCTACGAGGTGGGTGTTGCTACCTTCCCTCAGGGAAGGTGATCTGTCCATTCCTGCTGACCAGGTGGAGGTGACAGCACTCCGGGTAATGCTCTCTGGTGGAAATATCAGAGGAGGGCTCCCACAGAGCAGCCTGCCTGGTGCTTTTTGAGGGTTAATTGGTATGAAGTCGTACAGGTATTCATAATTGTAGTCATTAAAGTGAAACCTCTAAATGTTTTTATTTCATTTAGACTAGCAGAACACTTGAAGATGAAAATACAAATGGGGACATCATGGATTTCCCACCAGAGCAGAAATAAACATGGTCAGTGGTTTGAAAATGAAAAAGTAGTGAAGACTGTGAGAAAAAGAAGAGTTGACTATTTTAACATGCCTACAATTTAATACATCCAAAGGTCTGGACATTTTCTATTTTAAACTTCTCAGTAGATAAGCCAGTGTCTGTCTGAATCCCGTCATTCTTCCCAAAAAGCACTCCTGGGGCCTGGGCTGGGCCATCAGTAAAGGATTATGATGTGGGGAGTCCCCTCTGATTATGAAATGCCCTTGTTCAGAAGCAGCCCTTCCAAGCGTACCCTTTTCTCCCTTTCCTTCCCCATCTACCCACCCAATATCCCAATCCTCCGATATGCCCATATATACAACACACATACGTTCAGGCTATGGTACCTTTATACTGAGGGTGCCAAAAAAATGTATGCACATTTGAAGAAAGGGTTAAAGTATTAAAATCATAATACTTAATATACACCAATAACAAAAGATGACTGCAAGTCACATTTGACTTCTGCAATTACAAGAGGAGCTCAAAGTGGTTACCATCAACGTCCAGACGCTTCTTATTACAGCGAACTACTACTTGAGCAACATTGACCAAAGTGTTCACTTGTATACATTTTTTTCGGCACCCCCGGTATTTCTAACGTCCATCTAGGGCACTGAATATATGAAACACACAAATGCTGTGTATAGTACACTCCCAGGGAGAAATGTGGGTGACCCTGACCACTTGTGCCATTTACCACTTTTAGTATGGACTGAATCCACCAAGTGTGAGAATATAAAAACAATAAACTGAGTTCAAATTATGGCTCAGTCACTTATTAGCTGCAAACTCCTGTGAATGTTATTCGGCTTTAGTTTCATCTGTACCACAGGAGACGATCACGTCTACCAGTCTTTGTGAGGCTTAGAAGGATATACCGGAAGCAATCTACCCCTGTGCTTGGCCTATAACAGACAAGCAATAAAATATTATTATTTTCTAGTTGACCCCTCTCCCAGAGGAGCAATCCCTTCTTCACTGGCCCTCATAGTTGGCTTGCCAGCTTCTGCCTGAAGACTTCTAGTGAGCAGCACGTCCTGCTGTGCAAAGCAAGGCTGTCCCACTGTTGAACAGCTGTAACCATGGGATTCCAGCAAGCATCTATGGGCATCTTACTTGGGGAGGCACATGGTTCCTCCCTCTAGGAGGAAGCCCTTTCTCATACCGACCCAAAAATTGCGTCTAACAACGTCACCTGTGGATCCAAGTCCTACTCTCCGGAGCAACAGAGAATAACCCTATTCCTTCATCATCCACCTGTCAACCCTAGAGAATGGGGAAATCTCCTAAATCACCATCATCTCCTCTCTAGGTGAGTGAAAGCCTCTGGGTGAGGGCGCTGGGGCAGTGGGCAGGGAGGATGCCCCCCAACCCGGGCTGACAGCGGGCATGGCAAGGAGAGGAGCCTGAGGGAGATGTATGCCTAGTACCTGCAGCTCTGAGTTGGAAGGTACTTTCCTCTTTCCTACAGAAACTATAGTGACAGTAAGTTGGTAAATCCTCGTTAACACACATTTCACTCCTAACAATGTAGCTGAAGCTGGTGTTTACATTATGAACCAGACACATTTCTGAGGATGCTCTTAGATCTACAATCATCATTTATAGGATTGTTTCTGTGCAAAACTGGCATCCAAGGTCCAAAAGATCATCTTTTGAAACATGACACATTCGTGGTGGTCCCTAGTCTAGTGCAGGACCCAGATGCTGGAAGGTTCTGTTGCCTCTTTTCTTTGGATGAAGAAGTGACAGAGAAAGGGAAGCCATTGTTTTTGTACACAGGCTCACCTCTAAAGATCGAGTTTTTCCTTTCAGCAGGTCTGCTGTTCCCGTCACCACTCCTTAAAGAACACCTACACCACTTAAACACCTGGCAAGTGGAGTGTCACTGTGACCTGACGTAAGGGCTGCACAGAGCTTTGGGTTTGGAAGGTTTTATTTCTGCAAATGTAACTGGGGCTCAGTGTTTCCTACAGTTTCCACTAATCCCCCTTAAGAAGAGCAGGCTGTCAACTGGCTCTCTGCCATTTTTACTCCCCCAGCCTTAGAACAATGCTGAAGTGTTTCATCCCTATGGCTTAGCTATTTTCTGAAACACCAAAGCAGCTTAGTGAATGCTAAAATGAAAACAAACCTTGGTTTAGTTTACTGTTCAGAGAGCCAGGGAGGTGAGCTTTGATGTTGCTTTTTGAACAGCAGGAAAAGCTGACATGGGGTGCAGGAATCTTAATAGCATTACAACTATTTAAGTCAGAGCTTTACTGAACTGTTTGAAAATCTTGTAATCCCCATCATTCCTGAAATGAACAAACTTTGTGTAACTAAGGCATAAACATCAGATTGCAGAGCATGCCCAGCCAGAAATATTCATCACTAGCTTCTGTTCCAGGGGTTTATTTTCAGCATTTCTCCAGTCCTTCTCTTTTCTCTCATCGGGAGCCAAATGCCCCATCTCAATTTTACATTTATTTATGATTGTGGTTATTCCATGAATTCCTGTTGAACCCAGTGGAGAGAGGACAGACACCGTATCCATTTCCCAGCTGTAGGCCCAGTACTTAATACAGCACCTAATAAATATTTATTCAGTGAATGATGTGTGAATGAAAAAGGGGCTATGTAATAAACCTGACAAGCTTAGGGGGGCCACACGGCAGGCCTGACAAGCTCAGTGACTAAAAGTAACCACACAGGATGGTCTGATCATAAACTCCTAACTAGGCGGACCATGGCAGGTAGTCTTATCCCAGGCTTATAGCTTCCTTAGCAAAGGTCAGTCTTTACCTTAAGCGGGCCCTGTCCACTAGTCTTATGCATCTAGGATAACATACCTTTGAAATGTCAGAGTAATTTTCTTTTCTAAGAGCTCTCAAAGGTACAACTGCTGGCGCCAGAGAACAAAACCACCAGAGAACAAGACCACAGAACCCCTCACTGTGATCTTGTTCCCCACATACCATCTCTATGTGCTGTAAATGTTCATTAGTAACTATCCTGTACCCATCAATGTAAAAGAAGTGTTACTCCATTTTGCTTTGTACCCAATCCAGGAGATTTCCCCGCTTTGCTTTCTCCCACCTCCTTAATCTGCCACCAATGGATTTCACATAGTACCTGTCTTATGTTTTCTCCTGTGATGCTAACACCTAAAAGGAACTTGAGAACTGCCATGTTTCAGAGCATTTTCTCAATCTGGTGAGAACTTGCTTCAGGGCACGTCCTGAAAATTTGGCTCAAATAAACTTTTAAGAAACTTTTCTATCGGTTTGGACATTCTTTTGTCAACAGATGTAATTCTTATACTTGCCCCCCTTTCCCCCATCTCTATTCCAAACTATTTTTGTTTTTTTTCTCTTTTCCTC